CAGAGGGGCAGGCTACAAATAAAAATTTATTATTATTATTATTTATTATTATTATTATTATAGCAGGCAGGCAAAGTGACCAAGGAAATGGGATCACAGCAAAGAGAAGAGTTCTTGGTATGAACAGATTTCTCTGCATCACTGTCTACAGTTCTAGAAATTTGAGACTGAAGAAATTTTATTGGGGCCCAGAATTTTTATTTTGGGGCAAACCCCTCATTTGCCCTCTGTTTTGTTGCTACACTGCTGTTCCACATTCAGTTTTTTTTTTTAAAAAAAAAAAAACAGTAAGTATTTTCTATCCTGAATATCAAGTTTTTAAATTTTGCTAAATTCCTTTAAAACAAAATGAAGTAAAATTCTTCCCGATTGGCAGTGGCCAAATTTCCAACATGGAGAGTACCAGGACTCTATTAAAGGTGAGGAGCCTTCCACAAAAAGGAGGTGACAGGCATAATTCAGCACTAATATGGTTGAATACACAGGAATTCAAACTCAGAATTTTAAGACCTCAGCACTCAAAGTTCTGGGCCTGAATTGATAAATCTACCAATTCCAGTTTCTTTGACATTCAGGGTTTTTAAATCTCAATTTCTCTCTATACTGAAATGGTAAGCATCTGTGAATTTTGGTATATTTTTATAAAACCTAAACAGAAATGAAACTCTTGCCCATATTTATACATATCCTCTAACTGTCTTTATTTTGGAGGGAGAGTCCAAATTAGCTCTCTGTCATCCCCCTATTTCAGTTACTTTTAGAATTTCCCAGTTTCCTTGTCCTCCTCCTGCTTTTCTCCAAAAATATGAATTGCAGCAAACTGAGTTCAAATGGTGGAAAAAGTGCTCCAGCCTCCTTTACTTTGTATTTTATTCCTCATTAATAACTTTTGCCATCTTAAACAGATTCTGATGTTGTTTAGCCACATGTGACCAGGCTTTCATTTGTGAAATATTGGAGGGGATGCCTAATAATAATAATAATAATAATAATAATAATAATAATAATAATAATAATAATAATTTGCTTTTATCCTGCCTCTCTGTGTAACACAACACATGCCTACATCAAGCTATAACCATACAGAAAAGAACATCTGAGACTCATTGTAATAATCTATTTAAACATAGGCTTTTTGATCAGCTATTCACTTTTGTACATAACCAAGCACAGACAGATGTTCTACTAGTGCTACTTCATTTGGATCTTGCCAAAGTTCTTCCTAGAAGAGGCGAAGGACTAGTGCCGGTTCCTATAGGGGTATAAATCTTAACTAATTTCATTTTTTCACACAAGAACAACACATTTTCATAATTTTGTCCAACTAGATCAGATTATGAGAGGGTTTGCATATTTACAATATTTTAAAATGATTTTTGAAAATGAAATCATTTGTGCAAAAATCTCATTTTGTGAAAGACAGCTGAAATTTTATATCACACAGTTTCTGTTGTGTAACATAATTAGGAGATGTGCAATGGAACCCTCCTAGTGAATTGTGAAAATGCATCTCAGGACTCTGGTAAGAGTGTCCTGTTGCACATCAGGCTCTACCAATGTGCATCAAGATTTGGGAGTCAGTGTCTCAGTGAGCATTGGGCTTTATGGTGCACATCAGCAGTCTGTAGCAAGTCCAGATAAGCATTGGGAGCACCTAATGTACATCAGTGCCAATTGTGCATCAAGCTCTATGTGCATCAGATCTGACTTTATTGGCTCCCCTATGTGTTAATTTCACAGCAGCTCCTTGCTGAATATGGATGTTGTGAAACTGCTCAATTGTTTCCTAGATACATAAGTCCACTTACATAGACATGAGTCCTATACTAGATGCCAGCCAACAACTTTTTAAAGATAGTTTATTTTATAAAAAACACACTTCTGTTTTGTTGTTAGTGCAAAAAGCCACTTTTGTTTTTGCAGTTTTTCCCCTCCCAAACCTTCCCAAGCTGTGAAAAATCTCACAGTAGTTGACCATTGTCTCCACTGGGTTCTCCATACTTTCTCATTAAGGATGAGGAAATTTGCAAGTATTCCTTACATTCCTAGTTCTCAGTCTGGCACATGAGTTGGACTGATTTCCCCAAAAACCTGGAATGGTTGATTGCCTGTCTTTCCCTGCCAACAGCAAGGTTCTAGGGAGGGAGTCACACCCCACCTGCATTCCAGGCCTCCCTCATCCAAAATAGTATGTTAATTGAAGAATGGCCAACTTTTTCCATGCTTATCAAAATAATTGGCAACTCATTTTCACTAACTGGGCAGATGACAAATGGAGCTCCTGTTCTTTGGGAAACAGGTTGTACATTTGTACAACATTTGTCATCCCAGACTGGCAACCACACAGTCAACTATTGAAAAGCAAACTTGATTTATGGAAAGAGAAATCACATACGACTGTACAGCTATGAAGGAAGACAAGATGTTTTGTTCCTAATAGTGATTCTAGACAACAGACTATGAGGTTGTGGCTGTGACTTCATTGACTTTAGCTATAATATGTCTAGTAATAAGTTGTACATGAGTGCAGAGTTGCCTGTTCTGCATTCAGAGAATGAATTAATCTTATTTATTTATCAAATGTATACCCCACCTTTCTCCCAGTATAGGACCCAGGGCTACTTACAACAATCTTTCAGATAGTCTAGATCCAAACTGCATTGAGCTTTAAAGGTCATGACTAGCACTTTCAATTGTGCTCCTGGCCAGTAGCCAACGAAGTTGTTTCATATTATGTATTCCCTGCCACCATTTCTAATCAGTAGTCAACAGTCTGGCTGAAGCATTTTGGACCTGCTGTAGTTTCTAAACAGTTTTCAAAGACAGCCCCATGTAGAGTGCATTACAGTAGTCTTCTCAAGAAAAAAAGAAGATGTTGCTCAGAGTTTGACCTAGGTACAACCACAATTCCCAGAATCCACCAGACAGCACTGACCATGATGGTTGGGGGAATTCTGGAAACTGTAGTCCAAAAGGTAAGCTCTTGTCCAGAAGTCATGCATTTCACCATCCTGTCTCTCATACTGGTTCAGGAATACTGGACACTTTTGATTGCTGACTGAAGATCAATGCAAATAATAATAATAATAATAATAATAATAATAATAATAATAATAATAATAATAATAAAAAAACAAAACATTTTCTTACCTGCCTCTCTCCTAGGCTTGAGGTGGGTGAAACACAGATTAAAACACCTAAAATCATTTAAACATGTTAAGTTAAAACACACAAATACATAAACATAGGACACATTAAACATTTTATATTTCAATATTCAGTAAAAATAACTGAGAGAGCCAGTGTGGTGTAGTGGTTTGAATGTTGGACTGTGACTCTGGAGATCAGGGTTTGAATCCACCTTGGTCATGAAAAACCACTGAGTGACCTTGGGCAACTCTCATTCTCTCAGCCTGAGAGGGATGCAAAGGCAAACCTCCTCAGAACAAAACTTGAAAAGAAAATCGTATGTTAGGGTCTTCTTAAGGTCACCATCCGTTGAAAACAACTTGAAGCACAAAGGCCTGACATTCTGCTTCTGGAGGCTACAGATCTGGTGAAATACTTGGGCCACAGGGCACCATGTCTTCATCCATGCAAGCTTCCCACTGGCTTCTTTTGCCCTGGAAAAGCTATGTGAATCCTTTGTCAGGTTGAAAATTTGCTCGGGCAGCATCAGTATCTAGTCTAGTAGATAATGTTAGAATCTAGTTAGTATCTTGGTTAGTGATGCCATATAGACCTGTGTGGCTAGTTTGTAACACATTTGGTATAGAGGTACATCTTCACAGAGCTTGGGAAAGTTATTTCAGGGGGACATTTCAGGGCTGAGGAATTCTGTGAATTTGATCCCAAAATAACTTTGTCAAGTTGTGCATGCCCAATTAGCTGACACAGAAGCCTTTTTAAAGCATTTCTGAAAGTAATTATGCTGTGGGGAGGGGGACAAAGCATGAAGCTCTTCCCTCTGTTTTTATCCCCTCCTTCAGGCATGGACACTGATAGGGAAGGCAACATCAGCATTTGTTTAATTAAATCTTTTAAGGAAAGCTTGAATAGGGCTTGACATACATATGGTATTGCAGCTCTGTGCCATGATAGGACAGCAATGATGGGAATGGAGAGAGACTATTTCAAATGCATGAGGTTCTCCCAGCCGGTATCTTTCAGCCTAACCCACATCACAGCATTGTTGTGATGATAAAATGGGTTGAGGGGGGGAGGTCTGTTGGAATAGTGTTGCCAGTGAATCATGCCAAAAAGCATTCTCAAGAGTTTTAAGAATAGCAAGGGGTTACCCAGGGCTTAATAACTGGGTAGAGTGAAAGAAGTTTGTAACTTTGCCAGAGTTTAAATAAATGAATATCTTTCTTTTCTACTATGTTCAGAATGTTCACTGCTTTGAGATATCACCAGATATAGGAAGCAGTATAGAAACTGATAATATAATTCAATAATTGTTAATGATTATGTTCATCACATTCAGCAGTTGTACTTTATTTGTTCTGTTAGAAGCATGCCCTGATTTGCAAACCATTATTTATTACACTCTTACTGCTACCCAGTTATATTCAACATTTTTTGTTTATGACTGGGCAATGTCTGCCAAGCTTTCACTTCATAGATTTGGTCTGCTTTACACAGATGATTCTCCTAACAAGGCCAACCATCAATCTTGAGGTCTTTGGGGGAATAGTGGGATATAAATATTATCATAATGTTTTCCAATTGTTACTGGTTGCCAAGAGGAACTTTGTACACCTTGTGTGATGTGTGTGTAGGCTTACTTGTGTTTGTAACGGTCCACATCCTCTTAGTGATTTATATTGATGCAACTGTAGGTTATGCATGAATAATTTCCTTTTTGGATGGGACACAGAGGGCTGTTCTCTTGCTCTAAACTTTTCATGCCCAGCAGCTGTCAAGTCCCAGGAGGCATTGTTGATTATCTTTGCTACCCTTCAATAGTCTCCATTTGGCTGAGACGTTTCTGATTAGTCCTTTGTCATCCCACTTTTTCAGCTATTTTTAAAATGTCCCAGTTTCCCTGTTTCTCCTGTTCCCATTCCCCCTTCATCTCCAGCTTACTTCAGTTGCTGAAAAATAAGTGCAAAAGTAATTTGTGCTCAATTACTTTTAATAGGGGGAGAGGAGAAAGGGGGCAGAATCTCAGTGGTCCCAGACAAACACAAACTGTTTCATCATCTCCCTAGATTGTCTGCTCTTCCCCATTAATAACTTTTGCCATCTTAACCACATTCTGATGCCTTTCTGGAACAGATGACCACATAGTCAGAAAGGAGAGATGTAGTAGTGATGGGTGACTTCAACTATCCTGATATTTGCTGGAAGTCAAACTCAGCCAATACTTCAAGGTCTGGCAAATTCCTCACTTGCCTCGAGGACAATTTCTTTGTCCAAAAGTTGGAAGAGGATCCATTATTTTGATCTGATCCTAACCAACAGGAAGGACCTAGTAAATGGGGTGCAGAAGCCAGGCATAGTCAGACAGGCATTCAAGACTTTAGGAGAGCTGATTTCAGTAAACTTAGGGAAATACTGGGGGTGGTCCCATGGTCAGGAATACTAAAAGAGAAAGGTGTTCAGGAAAAATTGGAGTTTCTCAAAAGGGAGATACTGAAAGCACAATTTAAAACAGTTTCAATGAGGAAGAGGAATGGGAGGTGTCTCAAGAAACCAGGATGGAAAAAACTAAGGAAATTACAAATGAGTTAATTTTTAAATGAAACTTGTATAAAAAATGGGAAAAAGGGGAAATCACCAAACAGCAATTCAAACAAATAGCTAGCCCATGTAGGGGTAAAGTCAGCAAAGCTAAAGCGCAGAATGAACTCAGGCTTGCTAGAGAGGTTAAGAACAACAAAAAGGGATTTTTTTAATATGTCCGTAGCAAAAGGAAGAAGAAGGAAATGGTAGGGCCACTGCATAGAAAAGATGGCAAAATGCCAACAGGGGACTCAACAGCTTCTTTGCCTCCAATTTCTCAGAAAAGGAAAAGAGTGCTCAGCCTAAGGGAAATGGAGCAGAGAATGCAGCACAGAATAAGTAAAGAGGTAGTACAAGAATCTGAATGAATATAAGTCTCCAGGATCAGATGAACTGCATCCAAGGGTATTAAAATAACTGGAAAATGTAATAGCAGAGCCATTGGCAATAATCTTTGAGAACTCCTGGAGAACAGGAGAAGTCCCAGCAGACTGGGGGAGGGCAAACTTTATCCCCATCATCAAAAAGGGAAAGAAAGACAATCCCAATTATCATCCAGTTAGTCTGACATCAATACCAGGAAAGATTCTAGAGCAGATCATTAAACAGAGAGCCTGTGAATACTTAGAAGAGAACACCATAATCACAAAAAGTCAAAATGGGTTTCAGAGAAACAAGTCATGCC